TCCAGTTTTGAATTCATGAATTGGATTTGTGTATTTATGATTTGTATTTTGGATTTATGAATTGGATTTGTGTATTTACGAATCATGTTTTGAATTTACGAATTGGATTTGTGTATTTATGATTCGTATTTTAAACTTACAAATTGGATTTGTGTATTTATGAATCCAGTTTTGAAGTCATGAATTTGATTTATGTATTTATGATTCGTATTTTAAACTTACAAATTGCATTTGTGTATTTATGATTTCTGTTTTCAACTTACAAATTGTATTTTTGTGTTTATAAATCCTGTTTTGAATTTATGAATTGGATTTGTGTATTTATGAATTGTGTTTTGAATTTACAAATTGTTTTTGTGTATTTACAAAATGTGTTTCTAACTTGAATTGTGAATTGTGTTGTGGATGCATGAATTTTATTTTGTAAATGTATTATTTTTGAGACTGATCTCCATAAAACACTCACTAACAGTTATTATAAAGTTGCTGGTTCGAACCTCGGCTCAATTGGCATTTCTGTGAAGAGTTTGCATGTTCTCCCTGCGTTCGTGTGGGTTTCCTCCGGGTGCTCTGGTTTCCTCCCACAGTCCAAAGACATGCTACAGGTGAATTGGGTAAGCTAAATTGTCCGTAGTGTGTGAGTGTATGAGGGTGACAGGCCCATACGACAGGCTGGCTGGAAGGTGTAAAAAAAGTTGCTATCATATGGAACCAAAAAGAGCCGACCCTGCAATCATATGGGACAAAGGCCAAAGAAGAAGAAGATAATCATCACTTCTTGAGTGTATTGCCTCTTCTTGCTAAGTTGCTGAATGCCTCCTTTATTATAAGTCGCTTTGGAAAAAATCTTCTGCTAAATGGCTTAATGTAAATATGTAGCATAGATTAATACATGATCTGTGAGCATATTTTGAGCTGAATCTTCAAGACAGACATTGATGTACTATGTGTGAAGTATAATATATCTACAACATGAAAATATTATATGTAAATGCACTGAGTTTGCACACATTGTGCACAGCACTGCTAGATATCTGACAAATTTGGTCAGATTGCAAGTGTTATTTGCTCGCTATATATTTTTGACTTTTGAATTAAAGAAAGATTATGAGGTTATGAATGAGTCAGAGTCTGTTATCTGCCAGAAGCAGAGTGCTTGCGCTAGTCAAGAATGCAAAACATGACGACTGCATAAATTTTTTAAAGCATTTCTTGTAAATGTATCATTTTATAACGTTAAATCAAGCTTTGAATCATAAATCTCACTTATACCGAATCAAAAAGTCCCTCCACCCACATATTTTGGATTCGAAACTGTCAATTCTGCAATGAGAAGGCCTTGCATAAGACTCTGTATTCAGAACACTGAGAATTAAGGAATATTATAATTATTTAATGCAAGTATGGCATGCGTTGGGCAGCACGGTGGTGCAATGTGTAGCACAACCGCCTCACAGCACAAAGGTCGCTGGGTCGACCACCGGCTGGGTCAGTTGGCATTTCTGTGTGGAGTTTGCATGTTCTCCCTGTGTTGGCGTGGGTTTCCTCTGGGTGCTACAGTGAATTGAAGAATTATGTATTAAATTAAAAAAACTAACAGAAAAAAAAAACAGCATGCTATTTCAATTATTTAACTTCATATGTTTAATGTAAATGTTAAATGTAAATGTTATGTTTATGTAATTGTTTCATTATTTAAAAAAAATAATAATAAAATGTTAATGGAAAGATTAAAACAAATGCAAAAACAAAAAAAACTCACTAACAAACACATACTATAGAGTGGGAAAAGGATAAAATAGATTAAAGGGAGGTAAAATCTGACTCAATAATTAAAAATCTAACAACCTACATGTTGTTAAAAAAAATGTAATATAAATAAAATAATAATAATTTATATATATATATATATATATATATATATACATATATATATATATATATATATATATATATATATATATATATATATATATATATATATATATATATATATATATATATATATATATATATATATATATAATACATATACAGTTGAAGTCAGAATTATTAGCCCCCTTGAATTATTAACTCCCTTTTTTTTCCCCAATGTCTGTTTAACAGAGAGAAGATTTTTTTTTCAAAACATTTCTAAACATAATAGTTTTAATAACTCATTTCTAATAACTGATTAATCATGATGACAGTAAACAATATTTGACTAGATATTTTTCAAGACACTTCTATACAGCTTAAAGTGACATTTAGGCTTAACTATGTGAATTAGGTTAACTAGACAGGTTAGGGTAATTAGCTTAAAGGGGCTATTAATATTGACCTTAAAATTGCGTAAAATTTTTTTTAAACTGCTTTTATTCCATCCAAAATAAAACAAATAAGACTTTCTCCAGAAGAAAAAAATATTATCAGACAAGCTGTAAAAATGTCCTTTCTCTGTTAAACATCATTTGGGAAATATTAAAAAAAAAAAAAAAAGTTTTCAAATTTAAATTCAAATTCCGATTGCAACTGTATATACATATATATATATAAGTATATATATATATATATATATATATATATATATATATATATATATATATATATATATATATATATATATATATATATATATATATATATAAATGTTTAACTTAACGGATACCCTTCCAGCTGTAACCTAATACTGGGAAACACCCATACACTCTCTTTCACACATACACTATGGCCAATTTATTCAATTCACCTACAGCGCATGTCTTTGGACTTGTGGGGGAAACCAGAGCAACCAGAGTAAACCCACGTGAACACGAGGAGAACATGCAAACTCCACACAGGAATGCCAACTGACCCAGCCGAGGCTTGAACCAGCGACCAACTTGCTGTGAGGCAATTGTGCTACTCACTGCACCACCATGACGCCTTAGTTAATTTTACTTCAGCGATTTATTTATTTTTTTAAGTTAGTTGATTGAACTAAAAAGTAACTTGCATTACATTTTTTTTTAAAAGTAACTCACATTACTTCTAACACTGCACAAACACACACCCACACACACACACACATATATATATATATATATATATATATATATATATATATATATATATATATATATATATATATATATATATGCATTTGCAAAGCATGCACTGTGTCTCATGGTGATCACTCAACACAGAAGTATAAACCAGTCTTAAAACACAGTAAAGAGCAAACAAAGGGCGTACTCATACTATGCTATCCGAACCGTGCACAGGCCTCTTTCCCGGATCGCTTGAGAAGTGTGAGTTCTCTGAATTGGGCTTAGGCCTGGTTCATTTGGCCGGCCCTGGCCCGATTGAGAGCACGGTTCACTTGGGCTTTGGCGTAGTATGCTTGTAGTGTGAGTGCAAAACGTGCCTGAGCCTGAAACTGAAAGCGAGACATGACTTTTAAGGGACTGTTTCAAATGGATTAATTAATCAGTCTCACTGTTTATTAAACGCGATCTGTCGTAGTTTATTAAAGACGCAAACCCTTCACTGCAGGACAACTGCGCACCTTCAGCAAACCTAATTCCTGCAGCACGAGGATTTTATGATTATTTATTAGCGTCAGCAGTGGCTGATCTGTTCAGCGTAATATTTGACTGTGTGTCACTGCATCTCAAACAACTAAAACGATATAACTAAAGAAATCTCCACTGTGCTGAGCAAAAGCGCTTACTGTGTGCCTAGGCCCGAATATAATGTGAGTGAGGGTCGTCGGGGGAGATGGGAGGGGGGGCAAGCGTGCTTTGGCTCGGTTCAAGGCAACTGTACATAGTGTGAGTACGCCCTAACTGTACACAATATAACTAACGACTGATTTATACTTCTGTGTCAAGCTCACGGACATAGCCCTCACCGTGGCCGTCAAAAAGCTAGCGCAAGTTCTGTGATTGGTCGGCTTGGTATCGGTGGTGAGTGTGGCTGGTGCTGAGAGCCGCGAGCACGATGGAGTGGGTGTTTACAAGTGTGGAGTCTCATGAAGGAGCTCCAGATGTTTTGTATTTCCTGTATGTTGCATGTCCGCCGATTCTCGCTACTTGTACATTAAGCTAGCGTTCAAAAAAAACAAAAAACACCTGCAAAACGTGACACAGAGGAAGGTAAAAATTTACCGCCAGCTAGTGTTCAGAAGTGCTATTGAAGAGCAACACAAACAGCAGGCAGAAATATAAATGAACGACTATACACAAGGTTTGCATGGTTCAGGATCTGTAAAGCTACGCATTGATGAATTTGCTCTTCAGTGTTTGAACTCTCAGCAATGATTAAATCACACTGAACTGAACTAAACTGAACTGAACTTAAACACTAAACACTGAACTACACTGTTGCAGTTACTATTGTAACAGTTTTCCTGTTACAATTTGAAAAATCTACCTGTAGTAGCTATCTCACCCATTAGAGGGCGATCTAGGTAGTAAGTCTCCAATCTGCTTAAAAGGAGGTAGAGAAGAAGCAGTAGGCAGGAAGTATGGTGCCTAGCACATGAGCTGCGTCCCAAATCGCATACTTATGCACTATTTTACGCCATTTTGTAGTATAAATAGTGTAAGTAGTGTGTTCACATTGAAAACTCTCAAAATAATAAGTGCACTTTAATTACCCGGATGATGCACTCATTCAGCCGCTAAAATGAAGTGTGTAATGATGGACACTTCACGCACTCAACGACCGCAGGTTTGCTTACGTAGCGGAAGGGGCGGAGCGATCGGACGCACATGTTGAATAACTTTATTTATTTTGGATAGTGAAAGCAAAATTCTCCTACGAGAGTGATTATAGCGCCTCCGGATGGTAAATGCGGCAATACTCACGGCAGGTATTACTTGATAATTCGGTCGTTTATTTCACTGATTTGGCAACAGTCAAACGTCATCAGGGAAACGGTTTGAATTTCCGCTTAGTAAAAAAACATTAGTGTGCCATTTGGGACAGCACTACATACATATACTATCCTGTTGAGTGTGTAAGTGCATAAGTACATAGTGCATGAGTGCATAGTGTATAGTGTGCCATTTGGGACGCAGCTATGGAAAGGCTTCTTCACTGCGCTGTTGTTTGTTGATGCCCTTATTTGAGGAACATTTTTGTTCTTATACCTCAGATGTAAGTAGGCCTGTTTTTTTGTATATATTTCGGTTTTGTACATATGTTTTGTGTGGTGTTGGCAAGGTTTTGATTGTATGTTTGTTTATATGCAGAGGGTTTTTGGTATACACTTTAAGTCATCAAAACAGGACCTGGACAATCCATCCTCATATCCACAGACTTTTTCCATCCACTTTCCTACTGATTCCGTGGCCAACCATTGATGAACTGTTTGCTGAACTTGATCTTTCATGTGATTCACTTAAGGACTGTTGGTATCTTTTTTTGATTGCTATAAATACTGGATTCAATGAGAAAGACACTTATCAAATGCTTATTTCTGTCTAATAGTGATCATTGAGTTGACTGCTGATCATTTCATATCCCCAGTGTGTAACAATAATTATTCATACCTGTTGTCATATACATTTATTCTAAATACACATGAATCTCTGAAAGTTGTTTTGTGGTCTCTCAATTTCTTTAATGTAGCTTAAAAAAAAAGTAGTTGTTATACTATGACCATTTATGTGAAGCTGCTTTGACACAATCTACATTGTAAAAGCGCTATACAGGCGACGACGGCGATCACTCGAAGCTGAAATATAATTCAGATTTAAGAGTAACTGGATTGTGTTTGTAAAATGTGGACGAAGCATTTCTGTCTGTGTGTGTGTGCTGCATTAAGATGATTTGACCCATGTGTCACTTTGGATAAAACATAGTGTCTTCCAAACGCAGTAACAGACTTACTCTATCCCTTCGCGCACACACAAACACACACACACACACACACACACACACACACACACACACACACACACACACACACAGTGGCTGGCCTGAACGGACAGTGAGTGGGTGTGAGAAGGTGATAAGCATCCCGTCGGCTGGAGACTCTCCGATGGGACACAACCTCCTCCGAGTCTCCCACAGACCACCAGTTCAATTCACTCATCAATCATATCTCTCCAGCTCCAGATGTGTGTGTGTGTGTCTGTCTGTGTGAGTGTGTATGTGTGTGTGTCTGAGCCTATGTGTGTGCATGTGTGCTAATGTGTGTTCCAGTCTCTCTCTCTGTGTGTGTGTTTATGTGCGTGTCCCAGTCTCTGTGTGTGTGTGTGTGTGTGTGTGTGTGTGTGTGTTTGAGTCTGTCACTATGTGTTTTCGTCTGTGTTTCTGTGTGTGTGTGTGTGTGTGTGTTTGGGTCTGTCACTATGTGTTTTCGTCTGTGTTTCTGTGTGTGTGTGTGTGTGTGTGTGTGTGTGTGTGTGTGTGTGTGTGTGTGTGTGTGTGTGTTTGGGTCTGTCTCTGTGTGTTTTCGTCTTTGTTTCTGTGTGTGTGAGCTTGGGTCTCTGTGTGTGTGTGTGTGTGTGTGTGAGTGTGTGTTTGAGTCTGTCTCTGTGTGTTTTCGTCTGTGTGTGTGTGTTTGTGTGTGCTTGTATGTCTGTATGTGTGTGCATGTGTTTGAGTCTTTGTGTCTCTGTGTATGTATGTGTGTGTTTTAGTTAATGTATGTGTGTTTGTCTTTGTGTGTCCGTGTGTGTGTTTATGTGTGTTTTAGCCTGTGTCTTTGTGTGTGTGTGTGTGTGTGTGTATGTTTTTGAGTCTGTGTGTGTTAGTTTGTGTGTGTGTGTGTGTGTGTATGTATGTTTTTTAGTCTGTGTGTGTGTGTGTCTGTTCATGCGTGTGTGTATGTTTGTGTATGCACATGTGTCTCAGGCTGTGTGTCTCTGTGCATGTGTGTGTTTGATTTAGTTCATGTGTCTGTGTTTGTGTGTGTGTGTGCTCGTTTGGCTTTCTGTGTGTGTGTGTGTGTGCTTGTAAGTTTGTCTGTGTATTTGTGTTAGTCTATGTGTGCATGTTTTTGAGTCTGTGTGTCTCTGTGTATGCGTGTTTGTGTGTGTTAGTTCATGTGTGTGTGTTTGCGTGTGTATGCGCGTGCATGTGTTTATGTGTGTTTTAGTCTGTGTATTTGTGTGTGTGTACATGTGTTTGTGTTTGCATGTTTGGGTCTCTCTGTGTGTGTATGTGTGTTTGTGTGCTTGTGTGTGTGTGTGTGCCTGTGTGCATGTGTTTGAGTCTGTGTGTGTGTGTGTGTGTGTGTGTGTGTGTGTCTAAATGTGTGTGGGAGCGACGGATGGATCAACAGGTCCATGGGATTCCCGTCAAACTTTGGATGGAAAGCAGCAACGTTCAGGGACTCGGCTAAACAACACTTTAACATCTGGGTGAGCTGGCTGACGAACACAAACTCTGTGTGTGTGTGTGTGTGTGTGTGTGTGTCGAGAGGGAAAAGAGGTTTGAAGGAGAGTTTAAAAGAATAGTTGACCCCAAACTGAAAAATATGTCATTATCTATTCAGCCACATGTCATTTCAAGCACAAAGACTTTCAC